GAGGGCGGACAAGGAGCAGGCCTGAGCGCCCAGGGACCCCAACGCCCAGGGACAGCCAGCCAGCGCTGCGCCAGGGCAGGAGCCCCCGGGCTGGAGTCGGCTGCGCTGTGGCTACGGGACGTACCTGAGGGGCTGGCCCCTTTCCTCCTTCTGAGACTCGGGCCCCCCAGGGCGGGCGCCTGTGGGGAGACCAGAGACTTAAGTACTTAAAGAGCAGTATTTGGACAATCAGGGCCTCCTCCCTGGAGGCCATCTCTGTGGGGAGGCCAAGCTGACGCCAGAGGCCCAGGGACACCTACTTAGCTCTCGGTATTTATTTTTCTCCCCTTCCCCTCCCTCCCTCCAGATGACTTCTACATTCCCAAGGAAAGTCCAGCTAGGATGGGGGAGGCGTTGAAGGAAGGGTGGGCAGTGTCCCGTTGACTTTGTTGGCGATGCCCCTGGCGGTACCCACCGAGACTTGAGCGGAGCAGCCCAGGGAGAACGAGCTGCGGACAGTCGCCCCAGTGATGTGGGGGCTGGGCTCTGGCGGTACGGCCCAGGGGACGGCCAGGTGGAAGGGCCAGGGGCTCGCCTCATCCGTTTTAGATTTTTTTTTTTAAGTAAAAAAGAAAAAGAAAAAGAAAAAAATTTTTTAAAGCTTTGAAAATGGATGGTTTAGGTATTAAAAAGAAAAAAACTAAAAAAAACAAAAAAACAACAGACAGCGAAGGCCAGTGAGTTGGGGTCTCAGGGTAGGATGGCAGCTTCCCTGGAGCAGAGCAGCGAGACACTGAACTGTGTTTCCTTCCCCGCCCGGCCCGGGGCGCAGGCTGCAGGAAGTCTTCCGAGTCTGGTGTGACCTCGGTCCAGGAGTTCTGTTTGTTCCTCTCCTCTCCTCGGACGGGGAATTTTGTTGTTTTGTTTTGTTTTTCGGTGTCTTGTTTTCTCTCTCCTCCGTGTGTCTTGGCAGACGCTCACTTCTGTGGCCGTTGGCCAAAGGGAACGTTCTGGAGCTGCCAAGAGAGGAGGAGACACGGGTCGGCCAATCCCCAGATGAACGGTGCTCCGTCCCCCCCGCCCCTCGTCTCAGTGTTAAAGAGCCAGGAGGAGCTACCTCGCCCGGACTCTTGCTTTCTCGCCTCATGTGTCATGACTTTGCCTAGTGCCACCACTAGCCTTGGCTGCTGACATCCGCCCTGTCGCCCCCTGGTCTTAAAGAAGAGACACTTGGAGGCGGGGCCGTGGGTGGGGAGGTCGCTGCTGGGAGGGCAGGCTCCCCGGGTTTTGGTTCCCCAGTTTCCGTCCCCGAGCGCCTGGCGCACACAACCCACTCAGCGCCCGGTTGCTGAAAGCCACCTCACTTTAGATCAGTCACCGGGGTCCCTGCATCAGAAGGGTCCCCCCACACACACACCTTAGATCAATCACTTGGACACTAAGGCACGTTTTAGCGTCTCTTGTCTGTAATGAGTATGTCCATTTGTCTGTCCCTCTGTGTTTCCTGCGTCACGTCGGCGGATGTAACCCTCAGAAATAATGCACACTAGCCTTTGATGACCATGAAGCAATCCGTTACATGAGGGTCTGAACTTGTAGACTCGATTCAAATATCAAATAAATCTATAACAGAAAGTAGCCTTTGGAGGTCTCTGTGTCGTGGGGGAGACCCTTTCCTTGGCTTGGGCCCCGTGGACTCGTTTGTGGAACGGCCACCTAGAAGGTGGTTAACTGTCCGTCTCCCTGTGGGCCGGCGGGGGGGAGTTGCGGACCACAAGCCCCATAGAGGCAGGACCTGTTGCATGTCTGGTGTGGCCCAGGTCAGGGACACCCCCCCCCACCCACCCAGTCACCCAGCCACCTGTGGTTTGGGCCTTCATGAGCTTTGATTGGTGGGGGAAGGCGTGGGGGCACTGGAATGGGAGCCAGTAGTCTCCATCCTTGCCCCAGCTCCGTTGTGCGCTGCATGAGGCGCGGCCCTATCCCTTCCCTCCCAGGGCCTCCATACCCCCATCTATGGAATGGGCGTTTCCACTCTGTGCTCTCATAGGGTCCCTAGTAATTCCTAACACCCGTTCCCCTGGGCTCCTCAGAGGAGGGGCCGCCAGTCGCTGTGGAGAACCTGACCCGCTCCTAGCCCCTTGGGAGCCTGCTGAAGGGGCAGGGGTCAAGGGCAGCTTGACCTTCAAATCCCAGCTCTGCCATTTATGGGAAGTGGGGCCACAGCTTCCTCGTTCATAAAATCAGGCTCGTGTTGGCCCCCTTGCAGGACTGTTCCGAGGCTGACTGGTGACAATTATGTGGCGGGTGGAGTTTTGAACAGGGGACCTGCTTTTAGTACCCAATAACTGACATCGTCCCCCTGAACCAGTGAGCCTCGGCGCTGGGCTAACATGGGGACCCTGGGGCAGGGGCTTTTGGTGAAGAAGGGCCATTGGATCTTAGCCATGAGGCCTTAGCTGCTGCTTGGTGGGCTCTGATCCCCTCGGAGACCCTCCTGTATCTCCACAGTGGAGATGTTTCCCCCTCCTGTCTGGCCTGGTACCTCCCTACCAACCGCCCCACCCCCACCCCCATCCAGCCTTGGGGCCACCCAGCAACGCCGGGAACAGGAATCTTGGATCTGGAGCTGGTTAGCTTCGGGGAAAAAACACAACGCAAACCCACTTCCCAAAGCTTGAGCAGAACGAAGGAACAAATCTCGAATCTTGGGAGGCTCAGCCCCTCCCCCCACCCCTCCCTCCCCCAGCCGCCAGGGCTCTCCGCTCCAAACCTCAGTGGTAGTCTTCCCTCCGATTACAACAGCAGTTCGGAAAAACTGGGGGAAGTTCAAAAATAAAACAAAAATATCCTCACTTTCCACCCAGAACGGCCCCTGCTAACATCTGCGGAACAGCTGGTAGGTACTTCGTGAATGCCAGGCCCTGGGCCAAGCTCTTCATCAGAGGTAAAGCATTCGGCCTGCTCCTTACAAGAGGTATTTATGTTATCCCCAAATTACAGATGGGGAATGCAAGGCCCAGGCCTGGACTCAGGTCCAGTCTGCCTCCCTGAGCCTCCACTATAAGCCTTTGGGGGTGGGGGGGGTTGGTTCACAGGGGAACTGCTAGCCCAGCATGGGGCCTTCACTGTGCTCTTGGCACATGGCCGGTGCCCGTGTTTTCGGGCCACTGTGCCCCACGGGGCCAGGACAGCGGGGAACGCGCTCCCCGTATCTCCCGCGTGGTTCTGTCTCCTGCCCTGCTCACCCGGCCGAACTCCTCAGAAGCTCTTCTCCCTTCTCGGGAGCCTGGCCACCCTCCCCCGGCCCTCAGGAATCGGCACCAAGCAGCTACTCTCAATGCCGTGGCCCAGAAAACACGACGTGACTTGGGGACAAGGCTCCCAAGGGCTGAGCTCATGTCCCCTGCTCACTCCTAAGACTCTCTGTCCCTTTACCAGTCGGGAACGCGTCATTTCAGGGAAGTCCAGCGGCCAGTTTTCAGCAGCTGCCGCCAGAATGGCCCCATCTGATGCTGAGCAGGTCTGGTGGGTGCCGTTCTGACGGCTGCTCTCCGCTGTGCCGGCCAGACCTACGACATGGCACATCCTGGGCCTGGGGGTGGGGAACAGGGACAGAGCTTTTCCTTCCCTCGTTCTGATGACCCAGGCCCCCACTCCATAGCCCCTTCCACCCTCCTTTTCTTTTTTTTAAGAATTATTTATTTCGGGGGCCGCCTGGGGGCTCAGTCAGTTAAGTGTCCATCTTCGGCTCAGGGCACAATCTCGAGGTTCTTGAGTTCGAGCCCCGCGTCAGGCTCCGCGCTGACAGCTCAGAGCCTGGAGCCTGCTTCAGGCTCTGTGTCTCCCTCTCTCTATGCCCCTCTCCCACTTGCAGTCTGACTCTCTCTCTCTCTCAAAGATAAATAAACATTTTTAAAAAGTATTTATTGGGGCGCCTGGGTGGCTTAGTCAGTTAAGCGTCCGACTTTCGCTTAGGTCATGATCTCGCGGTTCGTGGGTTCGAGCCCCGCGTCGGGCTCTGTGCTGACTGCCAGCTCAGGGCCTGGAGCCTGTTTCAGAGTCTGTGACTCCCTCTGTCTCTGACCCTCCCCTGCTCACACTGTCTCTCTCTCTCTCTTTCTCCTAGAAATAAATAAAACATTAAAAAAAATTTTTTTAAATAAAAATAAATAAAGTATTTATTTAGGTGATCTCTGCACCCAGTGTGGGGCTCGAACTCACACCCCAGAGATCAAGAGTCCAGAGATCAAAGTTGCCTGCTCTTGGAACTGAGCCATCGAGGAGCCCCTATAGCCCCTTCTGCGTTCTAAGATTCCCTTTTATCTGCTGTCCTCCTCTGAGCCATAGGCTGGCCCCTCCCTACTCCCTCCTCTAATCCTCCAAGACTGAGAGAATTTCAGAGCCTCAGAGCTGGGAGAGGCCCAGATAATTCTCTGAGGACCTTTCCCACCTTTGGAAAGGAAAGCCACTTGGCCCAGTCTTACCAATCTGACGTGCAAGTCCCCCCAGGCCTGCCCTGCACCCCCTCCCCCCATGTTGATGCTGGTAGCCCGAGGACACTCTCATCCCCGTGAAGTCTGGGGAGAGGCTGACATCCATCAGAGCTCACAGTGAGTGAGTGGTGCCTGGTCTGGGACTTGGGGGCCCTGCCTACCCAGCTTCCTTGCCCTGACCTCCTGGAATACAATTTCTAGGCACCAGGGAAGCAGTCACAGCGGAGTGGTTTCTGGAAAGAAACTGGGAGGGAGCTGTCTAAAAAGCATGGAGGAGATTGAAAAGGGCTAATCCTGGATTAACTGGGAAGATGGACCCAGGGTGTTGAGCTGGGTCAGAGGCAAGGGGCTCATCCAGGCCCAGAAGTTGGAAACGGGGGGGGGGGGGGGGGGCTGGGAGCTGGGATTGGGTTTCCTTTAGATAGGCAAGAATTAAATCCTCCTTGGCCTCGAAGGGCAGGGCTCCAGTTACTCTGCCTGCCCTCCATCGCCCCTCCCACCTCCCCACCTCTGTACTTCCGCCTCTCTAGCCTGGGGCACAGCACAGACACACCAGTTGCACCCTGCCTCATCCTCATGGCCTGCCTGAGCCCCTCACAGCTCCAGAAGGTAGGGGCCTGTGGGGTGGGGGTCCGAGAGGGTCAGGTAAGTGTTGGGAGCGCCTCTGGAGTGTATGTAGTAGACCCCGGGAAGAGGAAACTGAAGCCCAAAGTAGTCAGTTTCCATTCAGGACCCCTAACTTCTGCACACACAGCCTGGGGTGTCAGGGCCACAGGGCCGGGGTGAGGTGGCAGTGTGTACGTGTACACACGTGGCAACGTGTACGCGCGAAGCAGGCTCGCGTGGGGGGGGGGCGTGGGCGCCCCGGACTCGGAGAGGGTGCGGCCCCGGAGACAACCCCCGCACCCCGCGGGTGCCAGGGTTCCGAGAGGGCGCGGTCCCTGAGGACCCCCCCCACGAGGGTGCCCAGGACTAGAGGGCGCCTCAGACTCGACAAGCTGGACCCCCTACTCCCCGGGGGGGGGGGGCAAGCACATGACCCCCCGCCTTCGCGCTGCCTCTGTTCCCCAAGCGCGGCCACCCAGTGTTGCACAAACCCGCGGCCCCGGCCCCTCCGTTGTACACACCGCTGCCTAAGGGGGCTCCGAGGGGGCGCAGCCTCAAGCCCTGCCTTTCCTTTTCCTTTTTTTTTTTTTTGGCCTTTGGAGGAGAGAAGAACAGAGTGTTTGATTCAGCCCTATTTATGTTTCTACTCGGGAACAAACGTTGGGTGTGTGTGTGTGTGTGTGTGTGTGTGTGTGTGTGTGTTTTCTTGGTTTTTTAAAGAAATGGGAAGACAAAAAAAAAAAAAACTCCCTTCCCTTTCCTTGCTCTTGCTCCCCCCCCTTTCTGTCCTTCCGAAACCCCTCCTCCCGCCCTTTTCGTCTTTTCGTTCTGTTGTTTTGTTTTGCTAAGAGTCCACATTGCTGTTTGTAATCCTTGGTTCGTCCGGTTTTCTATTTTCAGTAAAGTCTTGTTACGCAAAAAAAAAAAAAAAAAAGTGTATGTAGTAGACCCTGGGAACTCACCCCTACCCCCTTCCATTTTTCAGAAGAGGAAACTGAAGCCCAAAGTAGTCAGTTTCCAACCAGGACCCCTAACTTCTGCACACACAGCCTGGGGTGTCAGGGCCACAGGGCCGGGGTGAGGTGGCCATGTGTACATGTGACCGGAACCAGAATAAAGGGCAGCACTTGTTGGGACGAGCACTGGGTGTCGTATGTAAGCGATGAATCACGGGAATCTACCCCGAAACCAAAAGCACACTGTATCCAATGTATGTTACCTAACTTGACAATAAACTATACTAAAAAATAAAAAATTAAAAAGAAGAAGAAAGATCAGCCAGGCCAGGCCAGGGCTCTGCGAGCCAAACGAGGAACTGGGGACTGGGGGCAGAAGGTCAAGGGCGGAACCAGATCTCTGCATGGGGGTGGGGTCATCCCCGCCCCCCTCCCCCAGCCAGGCGTCTGCGCATGGTCAAACACAAAAGGCTAACCCTTGGGACTAAGAGTGACACAGGCTTAAAATCTTGGCCCTTGTTTGTTCCTGATCACGAGACAAATGCCGGAAAAAACTGAAAAGCTCAAGAAAATGAAAATCTACCAGTAATTTCCTATGCCGAAACTTTTCGTATACACCCCTAGAATCTTGAAAAGTTCATCATGGGGTGCCTGGGTGGCTCAGTCGGTTAAGCATCCGACTTCAGCTCAGCTCATGATCTCATGGCTCGTGAGTTCGAGCCCCGCATTGGGCTCTGTGCTGACAGCCAGCTCAGAGCCTGGAGCCTGTTTCAGATTCTGTGTCTCCCTCTCTCTCTGACCCTCCCCTGCTCATGCTGTATCTCTCTCTTTCTCTCTCTCTCAGAAATTAAAAAAAAAAAATTAAAAGAAATTAAAAAAAAAAAAAGAGCATTCAAGGGCAGGGAGTAGCCTGAGTTTCCTTCCTGCCTTCAGTTTCGGGAGGATGGATTTCTGGTGCTGGAAGGATTTTTGTCTGAGGATGAATGTGTAGCCATGCAACAGAGGATTGGCGAGCTGGTGGCCAACATGGACATCCCTCTCCACTGCCGCACCATCTTTTCCACCCAAGAAGAGCAGCTGAAGATCCTGGTAGGTGTCTGAGGCTTAGGATCTGCCAGAATAGGATCTGGTCTTTGATGTGGGACTCAGTCTCCAGCCAGCAACAGCGGCCTGGAAGGAAGGGCCCCCAGGCCCCTGGGCTTCTTCTGATGACCAATCAGGCCCCGCACCAGGCTAAGTGCCTTAGGCGCATATTTCCTTTGCTCCTCGCCATGGATTTATAAGGTTGGTATTATTACCCGCATTTGACAGGTGGGGAAAATGAGGCTTGGCTCACTTGCCCCAAACCGTGTTGTTAGCAATTCATGGAGTGAGGATTAGAACCCAGATCTGCCCGATACCACGTCCCTGCTGTTCACTGCTCTGCTGTACTTTCTCAGTAGTCCTCCTGCCGCAAGGGCCTCCTTTGTGGCCAGCAGCCCAGAATGAGCCAAGTGACTCTGATGAACACACTTGTGTAAGCCTTATCCCCCACCCCCACCCCGCCAATGAGGCTAGAAACTCCACTTCTTCACCCACCATCCCTTGCGACTTACTAGGACTCAATGCAGTTTGAGATGGGTAAGTTGAAACTTCCCACACAGTTCACTTAACCCTTCAGGAACCTGTCTGTGGTGTGGCCCTTAAGCCACAGCTGTGGCCCTTAAGCCACAGCTGTGGTCCTTAAGCCACAGCTGTGGTCCAGGCCCATTAACAAGGCTCATTTACACTGAGGAGCTCCTGCCATCTGGTGGACATATGCGGAATTACAATGGGTGGGGACTTAAGGGCAAAGGGTTACAGAATGATCATTTCCTCCAAAGAGTAGGTTTCATTTGACCACACTCCAGCCATGTAGGTGGGGACAGCGGAGGTGGGGGTCCAGTGTCCAGGGACAGGTCACTCAAAAGACTCCCAAGGAGTGAGGGGGGCCTGTCTTGTGCCCTCCAAGCTGCCTTCTGAGAATGTCCTAGAGACTGGTGAAGGGTTGGAGAGGATGGGAGAATAAAGTGTATGTATCTTGGTTTATAATACTTGCCAAGAGCTCAGCACAGTTCCTGGGACTTGGTAAACCCTTGATATTCACCACTGATACTGTCAAAGACTTTGAAATAGGCATTAAAAGGAAAAAGATCAGTGGATGTCCCATCCAGTTTTCCAACTTTGTGAGTTGTATAGAACTGATAATAATAGGAGCATCTGGCTGGCTCAGTGGGTAGAGTGTGAGTTCAAGTCTCATGTTGGGTGTAGAGATTACTTTTAAAAAATAAAATATTTTTAAAAAACTCGCAATAACGTCCACAGAAATGGGTATGAACTGGGTCCAGAAGAACGCAATCATTGACCTATCGGTCGATCCATTTCACATCCATATGCAAATTGACTTCAGTATTTGTTATTGCCTATCTGTATGTGATTCTTTGAACATCCTACTGGTTCCCCTGTGAATTAACGAGTTAAGTAGAACCTTTGACATGTTTAGTTTCATTATCTTTATTTTTTAAACTTATTTATTTATTTAGGAGGGGGCCAGAGAAAATGGGACAGAGAGAGAGAATCCCAAGCTAATAGCGCAGAGGCTGATGCAGGGCTCGAACCCACGAACCATGAGATCATGACCCGAGCCAAAGTTGGATGCTTCACTGAGCCACCTAGGTGCCCCCATTATCTTTAATATTATTGTTATCAGTTATACTTCCCTGACTTGTTTCCCGCACCCTGGTCCTGATATGGAACAGCTAAGAATGTTGGGGGGGAATAAAACACAGTGTTTGGTGGGAAGGGCTGGAAAGGGCCAGGCAAGTCACAGCGGAGCCCCACAGGCTCGCGTGAGAGCAGATGTGCACACGTGAGGGAGCAGGGACGGGGGACGGGATGCCGTGGAACGTGGAGAATCCAGGTAGGGTGGTCGGCGCCCTCGACTCCACTTGAGTCGCCCCCTAGGAAGGTAGGGAGATCTATATGATGGCAGCCAAGGGTAGCTGAAACCATAAGGAAAAAAAAAATCACGCATCTTCCTGAAGCGTCATTTTCTTATGATGCTAAGAAATCTGAAACAGGATATTAACATTAACAAGGAAAGGCTATTAAGAAAACAGGAAAAGATGAGTGATAGTTTATATTCATGGAGCACTTGGCCTTGCCCTTGCTGAGTATCTTCCCTTAAGCAGCATCGGGAATAATGATAATAATAAAAGCAGATAGTCATGTGCCAAGGACCGTTCTAGTGCTTTATATATGCCAATTCATAATCTCTACACCCTACGGGATACTTTTAATAGCATCTATATTCTATGAGGAAACTTGGCCCAGAGAGGTTCAGTAACGTGGTTGTGGTAACACAGCACCTCAGTGGCAGAGCTGGGATTTGAACCCAAGGATTCTAGCTTGAGGGTCTGTGCTCTCAACTACTGTTCAGCCTCTACCTGAAGCCACCAACGATCCAGGGGAAGTCAGTTCTAGTCTTATTTCCCTTTACGGATGAGGAAACTGAGGCTTTGAAAGGTAAAACCAGGTGACCCCACGCCACCTGGGATCCAAGCCTATTCGATCAGAGTGCCTCTGTTAGGAATCATACTCTATCGAGCGTAGGAATGATGTGACTTGAGAGGTTTCCGAGAAATTTTGTGTTGGTGGCTTCCAAGTATGCTTGCAGGCACTCGGGGTTCCTGCTCACTGTCTGTGCCTCGGTGGCGAGTTTGAGAAGCCCCAGCAGGGTCTGTAGCCCTGCGGGTTTAGGAAGCACGACTGTCCCCTTCCCTCTGCCAGACCCAGCTCGGACCCCGTGCTGCGCTCTCAGTCCCTCTCATGTCCCCTCTCCACAGGAACACAGAGACTATTTCTGGAACAGTGGCGACAAGGTTCGATTCTTCTTTGAGAAAGGCGTCTTTGACGAGAAAGGTTCAGAGCTGGGGCCCCAGGGGTGTGGGATGGGCGGGACTGGGGTCTTCCCACCCCAGGGCTGGGTGGGCGCTGAGGCCAGCTGCCCAAGGGAGGGTGGACCCCAACCTTTTTGCCTTTATCTGTTCCTTGTGCTACAGGAAATTTCCTGGTCCCTCCTGAGAAATCCATCAACAAAATTGGCCATGGTAAGCAGGTGTGTGCGGGGGAAGGGAAACGGGGAAACTGAGGCCCAAAGAACGTAGGGGCCTACCCCAGAGCAAGCTCACAGTAAGTTAGTGGCCCAGCAAATGCCATTTCTGGCTGCAGCTCCCCTCTGGACCTGCTCTTCTGGCCCTGATGGTACTAATCACATGACATGGCCAAGCAGCACTGGGAGGAGGGGCTGTCCGAGCCACCCACGCGGATGGGCACATGCAGACCCCTCAACTCTCTGCTGCCCGGCCTGGGGAGGGAGGATCCAGGCCCTGGGCACGGGGGGTGGGGGGGCGCGCCTGGGTCCCACCGCTTCCTGGAGCCTCCTTGAGGAGCACCTAACATATCGACATGGCCCCTATGCAGAAACCCGAACAGAAAGCTACAAGGCCCTCTTTTTTTTTTCAGGATCATACATTATGATTTATTTTGCAGACCACTTATTTTTAAGCTTGAGGTTATATCATGGGAGCTTTGTAAAAAAAAAAATACATGTAATATAAAATTTACCATCATCACCATCTTGAAGTGTACAATCCAGTGGCATTAACTGTATTCAGCTTTCACTCTTGGCAATAACAATAATAGCAGATAGTGAGACATCAGGGATTCTGTGTCAGGCCCTGGCCTGGGGTCGCACATGTATTTGCCCATCGAATTGGGATACATTGCGGTAGCCTGGGAGGCAGGGCTCTGCAGCACAGAGGAAAAACGGAGGCTTCAGGAGACACATGGTTACTCAAAGTAGCGCAGATTAAGTAACAGTACTGAGGTTGCCACCAAGCTCCGGGCCCCGTTGAATCAGGTCTGGAGTGAGGTTCCCAGATGGCTGGAAGGTCAAGAATAAGGTCTTGGGTGGAATGAGGTGCAGGCATCGTGGGCCCACCCCTTGGTTATAAGCAAGCAGAACGCTTAATGCATGCGAATAGGTGAGAAGTCAAAGTGAGGCCTGCATCTCAGTTCCCTGGGACCGGGCACGGAGGGATGAGCGAGGGCTGGGGACCGGCCTGTCAGCCTGCCTCTGTCCTGCAGCTCTGCACGCCCGTGACCCTGTCTTCAGGAGTGTCACACACTCCCCCAAAGTGCAGGTGAGCAGAGGTGAGGGCGAGGGGAGTGGGCAGGTGGGAGGCCCCAGATGTGAGTGAGAGCTGGCTGGAAGTCTGACCTCTGCCCCCTTCCAGGCCTTAGCCAAAAGTCTGGGCCTCCAGATGCCCGTGGTGGTGCAGAGCATGTACATCTTCAAGGTGAGCTCTCTGTCCTCCCCAGACCTCAGTTTACCCTCTGCAATGTATGCAGAGTACTCATATCAAGCCCTTCCTTACGATGGGCCCAAAGCTGCTTCCCTGAAGAATTTACTAAGTTTTGAGCAGAACGTGCAAAATCTACCTCCTCTGGGTAAGGTGCCTCGCACTTTGTTGGTGCTCAGTTAAAATTCGGTGGCAGAAGGAACACCCCCTCCCCCCCCGCCCCCCCCGTCCCAGCCAGGATTCTCTTCTCCCTTCTCTTGCCATTGAAATGCTCACTTCCCAACTTCGAGGCCCAGCTCAGTGCCACCTCCTCCAAGAAGTCTTCCAGGGTTTCCCTGGGAAGAGAGGGACCCATCGCTGACCCTGGCTGGGGCTGAGAGGCTCAGCCTCAGGCCTGGGCCCCAACCACTCTTGCCGTCCCTCACTTCTGCTTTGTTCTTGGTAGGCATGCGCATGTTCAGACTCAGAGCACCATGCCAGGCAGGGTGGTTTTCCTCTTTGCAGCCCTCCTGGGCCTGCCACATGGTGGGTACTTTGTGCTGGTATCAAATCCTGGGAGGTAAACACTTGTGGCCGGGTCAGAGCATCCCTCAAAACTCAGAGCGGCTTCTGCTCCCCCCCAACTCCCCCTGCCCTGGCCTCACTGGCCCTACTTTCCTCTTGCAGCAACCTCACCTCGGTGGCGAAGGTAAGCCTAGGACAGGCTGTGGGGGCCACCAAAGGCCACTGCAGGAGATCTGGGACATGAGCGCTCAGGAGGGCTGGTGCTTGTGGAGATGTCCGTGGGCAAAAGCCCGGGGCAGGAAGGAGAAGCCACCTTTGTGGAAGAGTCGATCGGGAGGGTGTTCTGGAGCCCTTGCTTGGCACAGTGGTTCTTGAGCCCGGGAACAAACCCCAGCTGGTTAAAAACACAGATTCTGGGGCCCCAGGCTCTAAGGTCTTTAGTCAGTAGGGCCGCAAAGACCTGTGAGCTCGTATTTTGTTTTAAATTTATTTATTTTGAGAGAGAGAGTGTGTGTGCATGCATGGGGGAGGGGCAGAGGGAGAATCCCAACCAGGCTCTGCGTGGTCAGCGTGGAACCTGACTCGGGGCTCCAATGAGCTGTGAGATCACGGCCTGAGCGGAAGTTGGGTGCTTAACTGAGTGAGCCACCCAGGCGCCCCTTCCTGGAGGTTTGATTTAACAGAGACATTGCCAATCTAATTTCAAAGCCCTCTGGATGCACAGATACCCTTTGTGGCCTCCCTTGTGGGCAATTATCTACCTCTGCTTAAATACCTCCAGTGACAGGGGGCTCATCCCCTCACAGCCACCGCTTTCCTTCCCCACGTGAGCCCAAGTCAGCCTCCTTGTGACCACCCGCTCCTCCCCACCATTCGGCCGGAGGGCAGTCTCACTGAAGGGAGACTCCCTGCTGGCCCTTCCTGAGTTCAGCACCCCACTTCCTTCAGTGGCTCCTCCCCCAAATGCTTTGAAGCGCCCACTACTAGGGTGCTTTCTTCCGGACACTGCCTGGATTGTCCAGGTCCCTTTAGGGTTTTAGTTGCCCGGCTGGGATGAAGCAATCGCAGCCACTTTGTAGCCAGTAGAGGGTCCAGGCCTCGTACGAAGCACTTTTCACACGTTATACGTTGTGTCGTGGGATCCTCCAGCCACTCTGTGAGGTAGCTTATTGTCGAGGCCGCTTCAAGGTTAGGAGGGTGAGGTTCTGAGAGCTGAAATCTCGTGCCCTGAGTCAGGCAGTGGTGGGGATCCCAACTGACCACGGGAAGGCTCGGCCTGCGGGGCTCTGAGAGCACCAGGGAGAGAGGAACACGGCCAAGGTGAGGCGGGCCAGGTTCCTCATGCCCAGGGCGGGGCCGGGGGGTGGGCGCTGCAGTCAATCCTCACCAGGACGCCACCTTCCTGTACACGGAGCCCCTGGGCCGGCTGCTGGGCATATGGATGGCACTGGAGGACGCCACGCTGGACAATGGCTGCCTCTGGTTCATCCCAGGCTCCCACACCGGTAAGGACACCGGTCTCGCCCCGCCCACTCGTATCCCCACACCCCCCATGGCGGAGAGACTCGGAGAAAAAGAGAGGCTAAAGGCTCCACTTTGACCTGCAGGTGGGGTGTCGAGAAGGCTGATCCGGGACCCTGGTAGCTCCGAACCTGTCACCAGCTTCCTTGGGTCCGAGCCCGCCCGGGATAACAGCCTCTTCGTGCCCACGCCTGTGCGGAGAGGTAGGTGGGCTGCCAGGGGACAGGGAGGCAGGCTCTGAGGCCATGCTGGTGGGTCTGCACATGCTCTGACCATGCAGCTCACCCGAGGGCTGTGAAGTCACAGGATGGGAGGCTGGGCTGGACAGGCACTGTTGGGGCCAGGGGGTGTCTGACAGCCGCCTGATTAACAGCAAGGCCTCCCAGGGTGCCTGGCTAGCTCAGTCGGAAGAACATGTTATTCTTAAAAAAAAAATTTTTTTTAATCGTTTATTCATTTTTGAGAGATAGGGAGAGACAGGGCGTGAGCAGGGGAGGGACAGAGAGAGAGAGAGAGAGAGAGAGAGAGAGAGAGGGAGGCACAGAATCCCAAGCAGGCTCTGGGCTCTGAGCTGTCAGCACAGAGCCTGACGTAGGGCTTGCACTCACTGACTGCGAGATCGCGACCTGAGCCAAAGTCGGACGCCTAACTGACCGAGCCACCCAGGCGCCCCGAGAGCATGCCACTCTTGATCTTGGGGTTGTGAGTTCAAGCCCCACGCGGGGGGGTAGAGATGACCTAACGAAAGAAAACTTCAAAAACAAAACAAAACAAAACAGGACGGCCTCCCAGATCAGGCTAGAATCCAGACTCTGCTACTCCTGCGCCGTCTCTTGGGACAAATGACTGAACCTCTCCGAGCCTCGGTTTCCCCACATGCACTGTGGGGAAGTCAGTGCGGTGCATGAGGTATAGAAGATGTGGCACGCTGCAGATGCTTAACGCATGGACGCCCAGCCCAGCATTTGATAGCAAGCTGTGCCCAGCTGGCTGGTGCAGTGCAGACATTTCTGCCTGGTCCTTCAAACACCACAGAAGGGGAGGCCCTTGCCAAGGCCTGCTGAGGGCACCCAGTCAGGGCAGGAGGGACCTGATCCCAGGGGAACCTCTGACCCACAGCACAGCCTCTGACCCTGGGGCAGGCTGCAGGCCACCCCGAGCTTTCAGGGCTGGGAACGGGGACGAACAACAGGCCACAGAACATCTAGAGGGAGGAGGGCCCTCTGTCCCTCTCGGCCGAATGTTCTACTGACCTGCTGCGCTCCCTCCAGGGGCCCTCATCCTAATCCACGGAGAAGTGGTGCACAAGAGTGAGAAGAACCTCTCGGACCGCTCACGCCACGCCTACACTTTCCACCTCATGGAGACCTGGGACACCGTCTGGAGCCCCGAGAACTGGTAGGTGGCAGGGCACGTCCGTGCCGAGGACAGGCTCCTGAAGAGGTCCCGGAGGCCGAGAGCAGTGACTCCGGAGCCTCAAGGTCCTCTCCACCTCCGCAGGCTCCAGCCAACAGCTGAGCTCCCCTTCCCCCCGCTGTACAGCTAGACGCCTTCTCAGGGCCGGGCCTCGAGCCTCCGGGTGAAGCTGCAGCCTGGAAAGCTCCAGCACCTCGCCCCCCTGCCCAGCTGCAAAGGGGAAGTCAAGTCTCCCCTCCCAGGCTCTCTCCCTGCCAGGGTCTGTGCCCCTCGGCCCTGCAGACAGGCAGGCGAGAGGGGGCAGGTGGGCAGCAGCAGCCGGCACCGGAAGGCTTTCCAGAGACCTCTGTCTCCTCTGCCTCTCCCCTGCCCCAACCCAACGCCACTCCCCCCCTCCCCCTCCCCGAGGCAGCCGGTTACTGCGAGAGGGTTCTGGCTGCTTCTCTGCCAGCTTCTCACCGTTCTCTCTCCTCAGATGGAATTCTGATGAGTACAGTGCAGGACATTCAATAAAAGCGACTTCTGGATATAGCTTCTTCTTGATCCTTCTTTCCCGAGCAACCTTGCTTTCAAGATGAGAGCCCTGGTGACATCACCCCAGGTGCCCCAGCCCTGCCTGGCCGAGAGGTCTGCATGATTTTAGTAACTGTAACATTCAGTGGGAGTTCACTGTGCCAGGAGCCTCCCGCCTTATCTGTGTCCCCACGCCTCCTAGCCAGGCGCTCAGCTGGGTGCCCTCCCCATCTGCCCTTAGAGGCGAAGAAGCTGACACAGTGGGGTGGGAGGTTCAAGTGACCTGCTGTCGCACAGCTGTTGAGTGGTTCAGTGACGTCAGCCTGATCCAGGGCCCGTGCTTCTGACCTCCGTGCTCCCCAGTGCTCCTTGCTGGGGGAGGCGAGAAGCCCAGGGCTCTGGAATACAGTCCCAGATTCTGGTCCTGGCTTTGCAACCAACTTGCTTTCCGGTCTCAGGCCAGGCCCTTCCTCTCTCTGGGCCGGGTCTGCCACTTAGACAGTCAAGGGGCCAGATCAGGCCTCTGCGGCCCCTCTCAGTGGGAGCGCCTGGTGGCCACCCTGACCCAGGGTGCAACTGCCGAACCCAGAACTTGCACCGTGGGGGTTTGGCCGAGAGGCTGCACACTGGGGGCCACTGGATGATTCTACACTACGGATGTGTTTCTGTCTGGGCCTCAGTGATTTTTTTTTTTTTAAACAACTTTTGAAAATCAGGAGGTTTCACCTAACAGTGCACAGTTCTAAACTTCCTTGAATGTTCCTGAGCAGGTCAGCCACACTGGGCCTACCGTGGACCATGTGATGCCCAGATGCCCAGCAGAGCACCCTCCTCGGAAGTGCCTGTAGTCCTCACTTCCCACGTCCCCCGTCCTCCACTGCGTTACCTGCCTGGCCTCGGCAGCTGTATGAATTTGTGACCTTACTTTTTAGCCCTTGCTCTGAATTCATGGACAGAGCCCTTCCCCAAGGCCACCCAAGGAATCAGGGAGGCAAAGCTCTTCCCTGGCATTTTGCTGCCTCTTTAGCAAGCGGATGGGAGCACGAGAGAAGGGAAGGGTTTAAGTCTCCTTTGAGCCCCAAAGGAGTGTCTTAATCCTTTCCCCTGAGGGACAGGGCTTGGCGGGGTTCCCCAGCCTGCGGTGCGAGCTTGCGACAGCTGTGTTCCTGGATTTTGGCCTTGGTGGGTCAGAGTTCTCATGTCTTCCTGCTAGGCTCCTCCCCGTTGGGCTGAGTGAGAAGGGTGTGGGGAGAGCCTTGTCTGACCTTGGGCAACTCACTATGCCACCTTCCTATTGATGGGAAACATTCACCCACGCGGCAAATGTCCACTGGGTTCCCGCTGCGATGCCAGGCCCGCCCCAGGGGATATGGTGGGGAGCCAGGCGGCCCGGGGACTCTGCCCTCACAGACGGGCACCTACGCGGCGTGGGCCCCACGGGAGAGCCATCCTGAACTCTCAGCAAACCCCGCCAGCCAGTCTCCCGTTTCTTACCAAGAGAAGAAACACGGGTTTGGACAGGACTGGAGTGTGGGAGAGTCTCAAGAGGGACCCTCTGATAAGGACCACGTGCCATCCAGCCTGTCCTTCGTCAGCACCACTCAGCCTGGCAGCAGAGGCTGTGAGGCAGGGGTGGAGCAGGCTGACACGGGAAGTTGGCCCAGGGCTGATACGCTTCCTCCAGTCCTTCCGGGCCTGCAACGAGAGGGTCTCACCTCCCTTCAGCGCTTCCGAGCCCGCAGCGGAGAAAGCACATGTGCTTGGTTACCCTCTCTTGGCTTCTCCTCCAAACGTAGGTGGGGAATACTGTCACTCTTGTCTCCAACTACAGCCCATAACACTTCTTGGCTTGCCTGGCTTTTTGGTGGGATAAGGACTGGCCTTGGGGAACGGCAACACCTTTGCTTCCTATTTGTTCATTATGCATGGGCTGTGCGCTGGACCCTTCCCACACCTTGCCTCACTGGATCCTCACAACAGCCTGTGAGATGCAGGCTCTTACTGTTCCCATCTTGCAGACGGGAGCACTGAGGCCCAAGTGGTTAAGCAACTCACACAGTTAAGTAGCGAAGCCAAGGACTCTGACCAGATTAGTTTGACTCCAGAACCTTAAGTGGTAACCTTTACTCTCTACTGCGTCTAGTGTCTACTCGGGTCCCCTCCGAGGATCACAAGGTGAAGTTGTGTGTGTGTGTGTGTGTAGGGGGAGGGGGTCCTACAGCACACACAAGTTCTTTGGGTTGTTGTGCTATCCTTTAAGATTTGTTTTCTGGGGCGCCTGGGTGGCTCAGTCGGTTAAGCGTCTGACTTCAGCTCAGGTCATGATCTCATGGTTTGTGGGTTTGAGCCCCGCATTGGGCTCTGTTGTCAGCTCAGAGCCTGAGCCTCCTTTAGATTCTGTGTCTCCCTCTCTCTGCCCCTCCCCTGCTGTCTCTCTCTCAAAAACAAACATAAAAAAAAGTCAGTTTCTTTAAAAAGAAAAAAAAAAAAAAAGACTTGTTTTCTTTTTAAATATCAGAAGAACTAAAACTAGAAGAGCTTTGATTTTTATTTTGAATCCAAATCAACTGAAAAACCCAATCTGCTTCTCACCCCTTGGCTCTTCATGCCCGAGTGGCTGGGTGCTGCAGGGACCGTTCATTGTCCCCCATGTCCCTGCTTCCTCTGTCACTGCTGCACAGCAGCTAGGCCATCAGCAATATCAGTAAGTAGAGAGGCAAGAGGAGATTGTCGATCTGCGTCGTGTACGCTTCTAGGAGAGCCACGACGCTGATAGAGCCCAAAATCCAAGCATAGCTATAGTTTAGGTCCACTCCACTGTCAAAGATTAAGATCAGAGCTACAGAAATGATCTGGGCAAATATAGAGGTCATGGTCCCCTCAAAAGTCTTTTTGGTTCCCGGCCAGTGGATTTCCCCCATGGTGCTGCCGCAGATGGAGGCCACGGTGTCGCCCACACCCACAGCCAACACCCCTGCGTAGGGAACCAGGGCCCTCGCTCCCCCCAAGCTACCCTTCTGTGTGCAGGGTCTGGGGACCAGCCAAATGGGAAGAGACATGCCCAGGAGCAGGTAGATATGTGTCAGGATGAGTGGTCCACTGTCTCGTTCATCCAGGAAAAGGGAGAGCAGGCTCCTCAGCGTGTGGCCCAGGGGCTTGATGCGGAAATAGCGCACGTACTCCAGGAAGATGAAGACCGCCAGACATACAGTGGCAGCTACATAGAGCAGTGTCCGGTCAAAGATGATACCTGGGATGTAGGTGGCCACCACAATGAAGTGGAAATACTTCCGGGCAATGGTGGGGGCCTGGTGCTTTTTGGACTCAGAGGACGGCCGCTTGGCATTCTGGTAAAGCACCACCAGGCAGGCTAAGGTGGCCAGCAGAGACCAGTAGACTAGAAGGTAGATGCGGGTCTCTGTTTGGAAGAGGAATTGAAGAAGCCAGAGCAGAGGGTTCTTGTGGATGAGCCGGTGCAGCCAGGGCAGGACCACACCAAGGCCCAGCACACAGGTCATGAGGTGGAAGAAGATGGAGGAAGCCCAGGTACCTGAGTCCATGAAGACAAAGAGAGTGCTGAAGAAGATGCCCATAAGCACCATCCCCACCACCACCACCAGCAGGAAGAAATCCACTGGGTCACCCTGGCTTTCCACCACAGTCAGAGAGCGCTTGATGAGCTGGTTGAGCACGAAGCTGATGCCACCCAGTACCAGCAGGGCCTCCCCGGGGGTAAAGCAGCGGGGCAGCAGGTACAGAAGGATCATGTTGAGGTACACGAAGATGAGCAGTACCTCGAGGACCTCTATCACCTCGCCCACACTCAGTGAGTGCTTCATGATGTAAATGATAATACCTCCGGCCAAGCCCGAGAGGACACAAGTGTTGGTGGGCACTGGGCGGGTGATGCCCAGCGCCAATACTGAAGAGAAGAGGGCCACCGCCATGCCAGTGGCTGCCACCACAATTCCAAAGCGCTCAAAGTATGGGTTCCCCACGGACTGGCATCGCTCCTTCATGACCAGTCCGAGTAAAGGCATGACCATCGACGCGGGCAGCAGGCCGCTGTTTGCGGACGTGCGGAACTGGAAGACGGCGCTTCCCTGCTGGAGCAGCCGATCCCACTTGTACTGGACGTAGAAGGCCTGCACTGTGAGGGCCACGGCGCACCAGGAGTATCGGTCCCACACTGCTGCGTGGATGCTTAGCACCACTGCGAACACTACTGCTGCCTCTGCCAGCACCGACCCGCTCAGCGGAGCGCCGGTCCCCGAGGCCGGGGGAGCGTACTCTCGGGTCATGTCTCTAGACCTGGGGCCCCGGGGAAACCGGGGTAACTAGCGACGTCTTGGCTGCTGGGTCCCTCAAGCCCCGCCAGGCCGACAGCGACGAGCTTCACACAGCCAGCACCTTCCCTCTCCGTTCTCCAGCTGCGAGGAGGGACGCTCCACTGCAGGCAGGCCCCTCGTTGAGGCTTGAGAACTGGCGCCCAGGCACCCTCCAATGCCTCCCACCTAGGGCGTAGACGTTGCCACTTGGCCGCTTTCTCTACAACCTCGAATGCCCTCGCCGCGGGATCCTCACCTCTCTAGGCTTCGCCATCTTGGCCCCGCCCGCCGTCACGTGACGAAAAAGCACCGCCCACAGCCCGGCCTGAGGCGAACGGTCACGTGGGTGTGGCGTCTGGGGGCGGGGCTGGGGCGCGCGCGCGCGAAGATGGCGGCGGCCGCCGGCGGGCCGTGTGTGAGGTGCGGAGCGGGCCGAGTCGGCGGGGGTGGCTGTGAGGCGCGGGGTCCAAGTCGAGCGGAAGCCGGGCGGGACTTGCGGGCGAGCTGTGGCCGCGGTAGCGGGGCGAAGCCCGGCCAGGGGGACGGGCGCCGAGACGGGAGGCGGTTACGTCCAAACGGTCCCCGCGCGCGCGGGGATCTGAGGCGACTTCTCCAAGACGGGGCTGGTGCCTCACCCCCTTCCCTCGGCGCCGGCGTCCCTCCCTCGTCCCTCCCCACGGGTGCGTTCCTCGGCTCCCCGCCCCTCCCCCCGCGCTTCCTCGTCTTGGCGTGACGCTCCCTCGAGGCGCGACGGGGCGCTTCGCGGTCGCCCGGGGGAGTCCCCACCCCCGTTCCCGCCGCGGCCTCGGGTGCCCTGCCTGGGCGACGTTCCCGGGCTCCTCCATGCGCTCGTTCGGCGGTCTGTTTCGTGTGTCGCCGAGCCACCTCCCTGCAGTTCCTGCCCTCTTTCTCCCCGCGCAGCCTTTCATTCATCCATCTATCCATTTTCTCGGGCGTGGACTGCACCCGGCGACGGGCCCGAATCCATGCCGGGGTCCCAGGCACAGTCCTGGACTTGGGGGACGACAAGATGAAATGTTCGAAAAGAGAGAGACTGCTCTTAGTTTAGGGAGCGCTGAGTAGCGCCCGACCCTAGGCGTCATCTGCGTGCATTCGCCCGAGTCCCCGAGGCACCGTCTCGCTCACGGATGTGACTCCCAGGCCCCCCCCCCCCCCACCCCGAGGGCTGCGTGGGAACGTGGGCTTTCAGACCGCAGTCTGTCCCACTCGGAAGCTCCAACCGTGTCGCCACACCTCCGTCCCCCGCGTTCCCGCCCGAAGTGACTCCCAGCTGCCCCTGCCTTCCCCCGTCCTGACATTCAACATCCGTGTCTCTTGCGGTGCCAGCACGGCCCGGCGTCCCCACTTTTCTGCCGTCCGCGCTCCTGTGGCCTCAGCACCGCGAAGAGCGTGTGCTAGACGCTCAGTACATGTTCACAGACATGGCCCATCTTAGATTTTCCCCTTCTCCTCCTCCTCCTCTTCCTCCTCCAAACATGTATGTTATTGTTATCATTATCATACATTTTTTTAAATATTTTTACTTATTTCTAGGAGAGAGAGAGACAGCATGAGCAGGGGAGGGTCAGAGAGAGAGGGAGACACAGACTCTGAAACAGGTTCCAGGCTCTGAGCTGGCAGTCAGCACAGAGCCCGACGCGGGGCTGGAACCCACGAACCGCGAGATCATGACCCAAATGAGAGTGGGACGCTTAACCGACTAAGCCACCCAGGCGCCCTTATCATACATTTATTATCATACATATGCTTGTCATTATACATATGTACAATAATTATTATTAAGTTATTCCTCGAGAGAGAGAGAGAGAGAGAGAGAGAGGGTGCAAGTGAGTGAGGGGCAGAGAGAAAGAATCCCTTGAGGGGCAGAGGGAGATGGAGAGAGAAGTGGGGCTCACGCTCCCTGAGCTCATCACCTGAGCCCAAGGCAGATGCTTGACCCACTGAGCAACCCCCCTCCCCCCTTTCCGGGAACCCCTTTGGAGCTTTTCCTGGACTTCTGAGTTTGCTTTTTCCTCCTTAGAGGTTTTGGCCGGCAGCGTCCTGGTCACCTGCCTGCCTTTTCTTTTGTTTATTTCACAGTCACTGTGGAGGTTGGGTAGAGTTTAGCTCCCGCCAGGTAAGGCACCCTCTTCGGTGAACGGGAACAAGGGAAGGAAAGGGTTTGCTTTGCCTGGAAGATGCTTCGGTCATCCTGGGGGACCTAGCAGACTCAGATCTGAAGATGGAAGGAATGACGCTCCGGTTCCCAGGCAGCGCTTTGCTCAGGGCGGCTGTCAGAGTAATTTTTCCTTTTTTTTCTGGAAAGCGCGTTACAACAGTTGGGATTACCCTGAGCGGCAACCTTCTGTTTGAAATGTCTGGAGGGCCGGACTAAGAGAAAACTTAAAGTCTGTGCCTGGTGCCTGCTGATTTGTAAGTGACCTCAGTTTGCTTTACCCTTCAGACCTGTTTCTCCAAATGTGAGTCCTTCTCAGAGTCGTACTGAGGTGGCTCTGAAGCCTGTAGACTTGTGTATGTTGATAGAGCTGGCGCTGGCCAGAAATAGAACAATACGCTTAAATCACCAAATGTTTGGGGAAGGTCATGGGGTTTGGCAGACCGTTTGAATATTGAACACTCTTGTGTTCCTTGGTTAGTGTGTCTGTAAAAGTCTGAGTGGCGAACATGTGCTAAAAAAACACAGCAGCTGCCATTCGAAAAGCTTATCGTGAAGCTCACATCTCAGTTCACGGGAGAGGTATGCACCTCGTCCATGGAGTCTGGGCATCCAGGGATGGTGGCCACTTTTATTTATTATGTCGCTGTGGAATATCGCTGTGTTTCTCAAGAGAACTATTTCAGAGTAGGTTGGCTGTGGCTCAGTTTTCTACCAAAAGGAATCAATCGTAGAGGCTCTTCCTAATCTCCTAGTAGCTTTCACCCAAAGGTCTCCAATCAATCACATGGATCTCTCTAGGGAAGAGAATTTCCAGTTTCCATGGACTCCAGTGCTTTTAGGAATGGAGCTCTATGTTGTCTGCTAGAACATCAGGCTGAAAGTCAATAAACTTTTTTATTTTTACTTTTATTTGTTTATTTTTATTTTCGAGACAGAGAGAGTGCAGGCGGGGGAGGAGGCAGAGGGAGAAGAGAGAGAATCTTACACAGGCCCTACACTTAGTGTGGAGCCTGACATGGGGCTCGATCCCAGGATCCTGGGATCATGACTTGAGCTGAAATCAAGTCTGATGCTCAACTGACTGAGCCACCCAGGCATCCCTCAATAAATTTTTAAAACTTTAACTTTGAGGCAGAGTACTTAGTTTCTGTGCTTTGGTTTCTCCTCCAAATACTTAGCTCAGACTTATTTATTGTGCAAATAAATGAGAGACACTAGAGTATGTATTTTGTTTCTTTTTAAAATTATTATTCTCGTTAACATACAGTGTAGTCTTGGCTTCAGGAATACTTTGTTTCTTTTTAATGTTTATTTATTTTTGAGACATAGAGCATGAGCAGTAGAGAGGCAGAGAGAGAGAGAGAGAGACAGAATCCAAAGCAGGCTCCAGGCTCTGAGTTGTCAGTACAGAGCCTGATGTGGGGCTTGAACTCACCAACCATGAGGTCATGACCTGAGCCGAAGTCCGATGCTCAACCGACTGAGCCACCCAGGCACCCCTCTTTTTGACATAACAAAAGGCATATGACATGGTTTTGCCAATTAAAAACAGTTCTTTTTTGCCAATAAAAATTTTAATTTCTAAAGGGACACCTTTTTTTTTTTTTTTTTTTTTTTTTTTTTTTTTTTTTTAGTATAAAAGTTACTGCTTTAGGACAGTGCTCTCTAATCTTGTTTAGTTAGCAGATCTTCCTCTCCCCCTCTCTCCACCAAAAAAAAAGGCTAATACTGTATATCAAACATAAAAGGCAGAGAGGGTCTGTACCAAGTCTTGTACCTGCTCCTCTGAAATAAATTGATAGCCTAGAGCAATGGTGATGTAGGAATTCATTTGTGTGGTCATTTTAAAATGCAGATTTCCAGGGGTGCCTGGGTGGCTTAGTCGGTTAAACGTCCGACCTTCGCTTAGGTCATGATCTCGCGGTTCGTTGGTTCGAGCCCCGCATCGGGCTCTGTGCTGACTGCCAGCTCAGAGCTTGGAGCCAATTTCAGAGTCTGTATCTCCCTCTCTCTCTGACTCTCCCCTGCTCACGCTGTCTCTCTCTCTCTCCTAGAAATAAATAAATAAATAAATAAAATAAAATAAAATGCAGATTTCCAGTGCCTTTTCTTTGAGAAACAGTAGCTCCAAGTTGTGACCAGGATTCTGTGGTATTGCTATGTTGTTTCCAGGTGATTTTGTTGTATGTGACCTGAGTATCAAGTATGTGTTGAGAAATACTCTTACAGGACATTTTATTTAAAAAAAAAAAAAGGTTGAGGCTCCTGGGTGGCTCAGCTCAGTTGTTTAAGCTTTTGACTCTTGATTTCTGCTCAGGTCATGATCTCATAGTCATGAGGTCATGAGGGCTCTTAGCTGGGAAGGGAGCTGGCTTAAGATTCATTCTCTCTCTCTTTCTCTCAGAAAGAAAAAAAAAAGCATGGGGTACCTGACTGGCTCAGTTGGTAGAACATGTGACTCTTGATCTCCAGGTTGTGAGTTTGAGCCCCATGTTAGGTGTAGAGATTATTTAAAAATAAAATCTTTTTTTTTCTTTTTTTTTTAATGTTTGGTTATTTTTGAGAGAGACAGAGCATGAGTGGGGGAGGGCCAGACAGAGAGGGAGACACAGAAATCAGAAGCAGGCCTCAGGCTCTGAGCTGGCTGTCAGCACAGAGCCCGACGTGGAGCTCGAACCCATGAACCGTGAGATCATGACCTGAGCCGAAGTCGGACACTTAACCGACTGAGCCACCCAGGTGCCCTAAAATCTTTTTTTTTTTAAAGCAAAAACTACAGATTTTGGTGTAACCAAAACCCACAGGTTGAATTAAACAAAACCAGGAATTTTGGGCTCTGTCAGCAGGTCCTTGAGTGTGGGCAGTGGTCTTCGTAGTTTCTTCTGGGCTACCTAGCTAGCTAGAGACCTAAGTTCTGAAAGCAAATGTGGATAAATGAAGGCCCAGTGATGCCCAGGCTTTTTGAAATTGAAAGATGAATGATCAAGAGTGATTTGATTTATTAGCTCAGACATACAAATGCCTTCAATTAATGATAAGTTTCTTTCCATTAATTTTGATGTACTGTTAGCCCCATTGTTAGCTATGTGTTTTATAGTAGGTATCCAGTCCATTCTGTGCAAATCAGAAGCTATCCTTTGTAAAGTTCAAGTATATACCGTTTTTTATTTTTTGAGAAGGGGGGAGGGGCAGAGGCAAAGGGGGAGAGAATCCTTTTTTTTTTTAACATGTATTTATTATTGAGAAACAGACAGAGCATGAACGGGGGGGGGGGGGGGGGGAGGAGGGAGATACAGAATCTGAAGCAGGATCTAGGCTCTGAGCTGTCAGCACAGAGCCGGTCGCAGGGCTCAAACCCACAAACTGCGAGATCACGACCTGAGCTGAAGTCGGACGCTTAATTGACTGAGCCACCCAGGCACCCCTCTTTTTTTTTTTTTTTTTTTTAAGTTTATTGTGAGAGAGAGAGAGAGAAGCATGTGTGTGCGGGGGAGGGGCAGAGAGAGAAGGAGAGTCCCAAGCACTTTGAGTGCAGAGCCCAACAAACACATGAAACTCGAGATCACAACCTGCGCTGAAAGCAAGAGCCTGTCGCTTAACTGACTGGGTCACCCAGGTGCCCATACTCAACCCTTTCATTTAAAAATATTTTTTTTAAGTTTATGTATTTATTTAGAAAGAGAATGCGAGCAGGGGAGGGGCAGAGAGAGAGGATCCCAAGCAGGCTCTGCACTGCCAGCACAGAGCCAGATGTGGGACCAGAACCCACGAACTGTGAGATCATGACCTGATCCAAGTCAAGAGCCAGACATTTAACCAACTGAGACATCCAGGCATCCCTACTCAGACCTTTTAATATATGTTGTCAGTAAAGAGTCCTGTTTGTTTTGTTAACTAGATCTAATCTCCTAATTTTTCAATAGTGAATGCTCTCTTGTCATCAGATAAATGATTACTGATTCCACAGTGCAGTTGTCGGGGTTGGGGTCTGTTGCCTTAGGAGAACTGAAGTTGTTTTCTTACAAGCATTAACTCTTAGAAAGGAAACTTATGATTTTAAGTGTGTTCAGACCTCTTTTGATGGGAAAATCCTGAAAGACAATTTTTTTATAAAGATTTTTATCTTTAAGTAATTTACACCCAACATAGGACTGGAACTCACAACCCTGAGAATAGGAGTTGCACGCTCTACCAACTGAGCCAGCCATACATCCCCTGAGAGACAGGTTCTTAAAAAATATCCTTTATTTATTTATTCATTTAAGAGAGAGAGAATGAGCAGGGAGAGGGAGAGAGCCCTGTCTTAGATTCTCCTTATTGGTCACTACATTTTAATGAGAAGAGATGAGGTAGAAATAAAATGCTATGTTGGAGTGGTGCCTTGGCATAGAAAATGTAAGATAATTCACTGATTTTTATATTTCATTAATTCTAAAATACACATTTTTGCATACTTGAATACTTCTGAAATTGCAGTGCATTTTATTATTGATGACTCATAGAACATACGTAATTATGTATCCTTCAGTTGATGGCTTCTTAAATCCATTAATATTTGGTGGCCATCCTCATTTTTAACAGTACCTGCTTGGTTTAGGTTATATGTTTCTTAGTTTCTAGTTTGGACATCAAGCTTCTAAGAAAAATAGAACAGGATCAATGTCTAGAATTTTATCAAATTGTTTTATACATTGAGTTTCCTGGTTTCAGAGAATGGGTGAGATACTGTGAGACAGCCTAGTCAAATGTATATTATCTTAAAGTGCAGGGGGACCTGGGTGGCTCAGTCACTTGAGCCTTTGACTTCGGCTCAGGTCATAATCTCACAGTTTGTGACTTTAAGCCTTGTGTCAGGCTTACTGCTGTCAGCTCAGAGCCAGTTTTATATCCTCTGTCCTCCCCTGCTCATGCTCGTGTGTGCGTGGACACGCGAGTGCTCTCTCTCACTCAAAAGTAAATAATACATTAAAAAAATAAAAGTACAAAATTACCTCTGCTTTCTGTCATTTTTCAGGAGCAGCAGGGAACTGTGGACAATTCTGCTTGGAAGGTCTGCTCTGAGAGAGCTGGTAAGTGAGTAGTGGTATTCTTGAGTGGACTCTGTAGTTTTCGTATAGCTTATGTTACGAAAAGCCCCTGAAATTGCCATCTCTTTGAAGGAGGAAATAAACACATTTTTAAAAATTCCTATATCTTTATAAACATTATGCATTCCCTGCTTCTCTGTGCTGAAGTGTGGTGTGTTTTATGCCCTACCTGCTGAAGTTTTCTAAATCTCCACCTTTCTTTGTCTTTTAGTGATTCCTTATCTGCAAAGATACCAGTGCTGTTTGACTACCTGCTCAGGGTTGGGGTACATTTACCTTTCTGCTACCTCAGGGCTAAGAAGATTCTTGGGCTTTTTCTCTGTCTCGTACTTTCCTTGCCATTTCTTCCTTTTCCATGTAGCTAGCTCCTTAAGTCACAGAGGCTGTGGTTTCTAAGGTATTTCCAAGTATATAATCAGTAAAGCACAGTTCTTCATGTTTGATCCTTGAGTGACCTTACCTTGTGAGGGGAAAGCATTCAGATGACATTTAATTATTACTATTGTTACTATGGTAATTAACGTAATGAATGTTACACCTTCTTTAGAGCCTTAACTTTTTTTTTTTTTTTAAGTAGGTTCCATGCCCATTGTGGGGCTCGAAATCATGACCTTGAGATCAAGAGTCCTGGGGCACTTGGGTGGTTCAGTTGGTTGAGTGTCCAACTCTTGGCTTTGACTCTGGTCATGATCATGATCCCACAGTTTTTTGCGTTCAGACCCTGCATTGGGCTCTGTGCTGATAGCATGGAGCCTCCTTGGGGTTCTCTCTCTCTCTCTCTCTCTCTCTCTCTCTCTCTCTCTCAAATAAAAAAAGAAAAAGGGCCACATCCTCTACTGTCTGAGACAGCCAAGAACCTCTAGAGCCTTAACATTTAAAAAACATTTTTAAAAAATTTTTTCAATTTTTGTTTTTTTAAAATTTATTTCTGAAAGAGAGAGAGAGAGACAGCGTGAGCAGGGAAGGGTCAGAGAGAGAGGGAGACACAATCCGAAGCAGGCTCCAGGCTCTGAGCTAGCTGTCAGCCCAGAACCCGATGTGGGGCTTGAGCCCATGAAGCATGAGATCATGACCTGAGCTACAGTTGGACACTCAACCGACTGAGCCATGCAGGCGCCCCTAAAAAAAATGTTTATTTATTTTGAGAAAGAAACAGGGGAGGGGAAGCGGGGGATGTGGAACAAGAATCCCAAGCAGGCTCCAGGCTCTCAGCTAGAGCACAGAGCCTGACGTGGGGCTCGAACTCAAGAACCATGAGGTCATGACTTGAGCCAGTCAGATACTTAACTGACTGAGCCACCCAGGTACCCTTAGAGCCTTAACATTTTTGATATGCTTTCATCTGATAATTGTACTTCTAGGAACATATCTTACGAGAAAGAAATCCCGAAAAAGTTTTGTGCACAAAGCTCTTTACCGTAGTGTTATTTACGTTAATAAGTAATCACAGCTTAAAAAAAAAAAAATTAATCACAGTTTAAGTGCATCTAACATTAGAGGCACGGTAAATAAATTATTAGCTAGTTACTTGATAAAATATCATGCAGTCACTAGAAAGTACAGTATGTTTGTTTATTTTTGCGAGAGAGAGACAGAGCACGAGCAAGTGAGGGGCAGAGAGAGGGAGACACAGAATCTGAAACAGGCTCCAAGCTCTGAGCTGTCTGCACAGAGCCTGATGCGGGGCTCCAGCCCATGAACCGTGAGATCATGACGTGAGCCAAAGTCCTATGCTTAACCGACTGACCCACCCAGGTGTCCCAGAAAGGAAGTTTATCAAGATTTTCATAATAAGGTTAAATCACTGTTAGAAGGTTAAGCAGGGAAAAGGAGAATTCTCTATTCAGAATTCTCTATTCAGAATGATTTCAGCTGTGGGGAGAAACATACTAAAAAACCCAGGAATATGTAAATCCTTGTATAATTTCTTTGTTCTTTTCCAGAATCAGATTGAGGCAGAACTGAATAAACATTGGCAGCGGCTCTTAGAGGGGCTGTCCTACTATAAACCTCCCAGGTATGGCCATTCCGTGCGTCTGGTTAGAGGAATTCCACTGAGGACGGCTGGGGTAGTGCAGCTGTCTTCGCGTACGATTTGGTGATGCTGCTGGGTTAGGGAGATTGCAGAGAATATAATTTGGTTACCAGTGAAAAGAGTCAGGCACATTTTTACCATCTGTTGAAAGGGAAATTCCTTTTAGAAATGCAACATTGTTGAATGTAGCTATGTAACTCTAGTGCCTGGGGAGGGGGAGTCATTAACTCATCAGGGAATACTCTGAATATTTATCTCGGTCCACCATGTTTATGTGAAGTCTTGTCAGCACCAAGTGCTCGGATAGTGCAGGAGACAGTTGACAGTAGCAGCTGACCACTTACAGTGTTTCCTGTGTACCAGTGATTATTCTTAGCACTTATCAGAAGTTATTTAATCCTTATAACAGCCCGTTAAGTAGATACTATTTTTATTCTTTGCTTGAATATATAGATTTTTTTTTTTCTGGGCAATGAAAAGCAACAGTAATAAAATATAAATTAGTTTTAAAAAAGAAGAGAGTACACCTTGTAGGACTAGTCTCTCTTACCTTAATTCCTAGCCCAGATTGCATTCTGTTATGCATCGTAGTTCCCAAGCCACCCTCGTTTCCTTTCTCCTTCTGAATATCTGATTTTTTTTTTTTTTGCTACACTTTCCATCTTCCTTTTCTTAGGTTAGTGAAGAAGTTTCTTTTTTTAGTTGTTCATTACCCCTCCCCCTGTACTTACTTTGAAGTAACTCCCAGACATCGTGTTGTTTTATCTGAAATTATTGTGTGTCTAAAATATATAGACTTAAAAAAAAGAAGCTAATCACTATATTATCACCTATGGGTGCTTTTATTATTATTGTTTCCATTTTACAGATGGGGAAACTGAGGCACAAAGAGGTTAAGTAACTTGCCAAGGTCACACAGCTAGTAAGTGTAGAACCAGGATTTGAACCTGGCAGTCTTACTCCAGTGTCTGTGTTCTTAATCATCATTTTGTGTTGCCTCTTTCAGAACTTACTGTTTAACCTTATAGTGGCCTTTGTGTTGTGGATTTCCTGTGAAGTGTGAGAGTCTATATAAAAAAAAATCAAATCCAACAACAACATGCTTGTAGTTTGCAGAATGGACATTTGTGGCATTACTTTCTTTTTTTAAAGACAAAAGTTTCTTTTGTCAGTAGCTCATAATTTGAGGTCTGACAGACTTTTTTTTTTTTAACTTCAGATTTTATTTGAATTTAACCTTTTTTTTTCCCTTTAATGTCCTTTTTCTGTTCCCGGATCCAGCTTAGGATCCCATGTTGCATTTAGTTGTCATCATGTCTCCTTAGCTCTTAGATGTGACAGCGTCTTTCCTTAATTTTCATCATCTTGAATAGTTTTGAGGAGGACCAGTCAAGTATTTTGTAGAATGTCCTCAATTTGGATTTGTCTCATGTTTTTCTCATTATTAGATTGGGGTCATGGGTTTTGGGGAAGAATGCACAGAAATGAAGTACCGTTCTTATCATAACAGAGGATGTGGTAATCCACATGAAATCACTGGTGATGCTGATCTTGCTCACTTGGGCAAGGTCGTATTTGCCAAGTTCTCTTCTGTAAAGTCATTTTTTTTCTTTTTCCCTTTCCCTACTCTGTTTTAGAAGTGGGTCACTAAGCATAGCCCACTCGCTAGCTGGGGATATAGTGGAATTAAACTACTTCCTGAAGGGAGTAGCATCTAGATATATTATTTGGACTTCTTCTCTAAGGAAGAATTTTCCCTTCTCTGTATTGATTTATTTATTTATACGTACATGTATATTTATTTTATACTTTGTTTATACTTTGTTTTAGCTTTGGTCACTGGAAGTTCTTTCAGGTTGGCTTCTATGTAGTCTTGACATTTCTCCATCCTTTTTTCCCCCTGAGTTAGTTTCTTATTTTCTGGCATAACAAGATACTCCAGGCTCGTCTTGTATTTTCCCCGCCCCAGCTCTAGAGTTAGCTATTTATCTAAGGAGTCTTGGTAACTTTTATTAGATAATGGTATGAGAAAAAAAGGAAAAGAAAGAAAAGATAATGGTATGAGAAACCAAGATCTGGGTGCTGGTTGTGCTTGCTGCTACTGGGGTGCTATAGCTTCTAGGCCTTCTCAACAGGTAGAGGTAGGCAAGATGTATGTGTATACTACAGACCTGGTTTTAAGTTTCATCTGAACTTTATATTAGCTGTGGGATTTTTGGTAAGTTATTTATTCTTTCTGAGTATTAGTAATTCCACTTGTAAAATGGGGATAGTAATATTTACCTTTCAGGATAGTTCTAAGGATCAAGAATAATGTAACTTAATATATCCACATATATTATGATAACTGTAATTTGTAACAGACATATACTGTATCATTTAGGCATAAGTAGTTCTGTGTTATAATATTTGTAGAGATGAAGTTGTTGTGTGTGTGTGTGTGTGTGTGTGTGTGTGTGTGTGTGTGTGTGTGTTTTGTAGGCGCCTAAAGGGCAGGAAAAGGTCTGTTGTAAAAATATCTTTAAGTATTTTTGTTTAAAGTCCTCAGAGGGTCATTGAGAATGAGGAAATGATTCATTGTTCTTTTCGTAGTCCAAATTCAGCTGAAAAAGTGAAAGCTAATAAAGATGTGGCTTCACCACTGAAGGAACTGGGTTTAAGAATCAGCAAGTTTTTGGTGAGTAAAAATTAGCACTGGCTTAGTTTACTACCTGCACTGCAGACGGGCATTGTTTTGTTGTTAGTGTTGTTAGTGAAAATTAAGTGTACTTCTGTTTTGGAGATTAAATTGAGCATACTGTGTTTCAAAAATATTCAAGTTGCAACTCTTCATGCTAAAAAGTTACTAATTAAGTTGACAGACCTATCTACTATGTGTGTATGTGTGTGTGTATGTATATATATGTGTGTGTGTGTACACACACATACATATACTAGTTTTCTTCAGCATGCCTGTGGGGATTCTTAAATTGACTAGATTGTATTTGAATATGTAGCTGTTTCTTTTGTTTTCTTTTTTTTAATGTTTATTTTTGAGAGAGAGAGCAAGCGGGGGAGGGGCAGAGAGAGAGAGGGAGACAGAATCTGAACAGGCTCCACACCGTCAGCACAACATGGGGCTTGAATCCAGGAACTGTGAGATGGTAACCTGAGCCAAAGTCGGAAGCTCATTCAACTCAGCCACCCAGGTGCCCCTAGTTTTGATTTTGGAAACCCAGATCATGCCTGCTGCTGTATTAACTGCTTGGTAAATAAGCACAGTTGTTTCTGACATTGCAGATTTGATCATCATGTAAATTACATGTCTGTCACTGGCTTCTTTTTCTTCTGTGTGGGGTAAAATTATCATCTTGTTTGAAATCTTTCAAAAGGATCTTTTTTTTTTTAGGTATTTTGTCCATAGCACCACTTACAGTGTTTTCCAAAGGTGTGTGTCTTTTACCACTGACTGACAACTTAGCTGCTTAAATATAGCGTTATGTTTGAAACATGATTTTTATTTTTTATTTCTTATTTATTTTTTTTATGTTTTATTTATTTCTGAGAGAGAGAGAGGGAGACAGTGTGAGCAGGGGGGGTCAGAGAGAGAGGGAGATACAGAATCCGAAACAGGCTCCAGGCTCTGAGCTAGCTGTCAGCACAGAGCCCGACACAAGGCTCGAACCCATGAACCGTGAGATCATGACCTGAGCTGAAGTTGGATGCTTAACCGACTGAGCCACCCAGGCACCCTTGAAACATGATTTTTAAAAACCTAGTCTAAAATAGATCAAAACATTAGGTGTACATTAAAAAAAAATTTTTTTTTAATGTTTATTTATTTTTGAGAGGCAGAGACAGAGCACAAGCAGGGGAGGGGCAGAAAAGGAAGGGAGACAGAGTCTGAAGCAGGCTCCAGGCTCTGAACTGTCAGCACAGAGCCGGACATGGAGCTCATACTCATGAACTGCGAGATTATGACCTGAGCCAGAGTCGATGCTTAACTGACTGAGCCACCCAGGTGCCCCTAGGTGGACATTTTTTACAACCAGTATCTGTAAGCTGAGGAGCAGTACTGATATATCTAGTGTGGACTTGTAGGGGTAAGGGAATGCCTTATTCTACCAGTTAAATCCGTATGCTATTTATTTCCACCATTCACACAGCCCTCTACCTGTTTCATCTATCTATTTGTATATTTTCTTGATAGATTTCAAACTAGTAGTGGGCAGTAACTGTCTCTTGCCTGGTGTGCTCATTATTCTAAATGAGATGTTATAATACTTATAAGACACGAAGCTCTCAAACACATTCCTCCTTGAGACTGAAGGCTCAAGGGAGGAAGTAGAGTGAAGGGAGGAAATGAGGTTTCTGTGATTTCTTCAGTCTCTTTCCTTTCCACTTTTCTTCCTCTGTCCATCACAGACACATCTTTGTGCTTGCTGAGTGACCTGGACACATTCAAGCAATATTCTGTCACAGAAACCCATCCGTTTGGTAACACACCCCCACATTCAGCTTTTTACCAACTTTCACCAAGCACTTGGACCATTTCATTTTTGTCAGCTCACCACTGATAACAGAATATTATTCTGTTCTTGTGACTAAATAAATAACTCACCGAAGTTCTGTTGACCTGAATTAGTGTACATTGATTTTAAATCAAAGGAGGAGGCGATACCTGGTTGTTGGTCTTCTGAGAGGGAAACATATGGCCTTTGGAAGCAGGGATGTCTGCCTGTACTTCAGCTTCCACAACTTGCTCCAAACGGTTTCCTGTGAACCTAGGCCTCTCTTCTCTCTTCTCAACCCAACAGCGTGTGCATCAATACCTGAGTTTATTCTGTGTTAAAAAAAAAAAAAGAAAAAAGAAAACAGAAAAAAAAAGATTTTTATTTCTTCAAGTTCTGTGTTCATTCTCGAGGATAAATCTTTAGAATGTTCTGCATTCTGTGTGTGTTTTCTGAGCTGAGGAGGCTGTTCCCCTTTCTTACGGCCTCTGTATTTCAGGGTCTTGACGAAGAACAGAGTGTGCAGTTGCTCCAGTGTTACCTTCAAGAGGATTATAGAGGTACTCGGGACTCGCTAAAGGTTTGTAGTTCTGTCCGGCTGCTTTCTCCTGCCTTTGTCCTTTTCCTTGTTGATGTCAGGTGTTGAAGGGTTTGGTAGTGCTTCTTTGCGACAGGTGGGGGATCAGATACAGTCATTTTAAAGGATTTCTAAATCCTTACATTTAGAAAGGAAAGACATTCTAAAGGTTTACAAAGCGTGTACTTAATAAGGTCTGTTGTCAGAATTTGGAGGGGCTGGAGACGTCAAAGACCGACATGTTAATCATAGAGTGTCAGGACATCAGAGCTGAAAATGACCTGGTACAGTATCTCGCTTATCTAACCCGACATTCTACATATGAAGAAATGGAGTCCAGGGGAGGGGGCAGGGATTTGAGTACAGATTTGGATTCACATAGGTAAAAAATATTTCCAAAAATGACTGGGCAGTTATAATCTTGAAGGGTGCGGTGAAGATGTTTACCTTTTCCTTTGTTAACCGAGCTTTGCTTATACGATGGCTTCTTGACTGTACTGTTCTCCTTCAGACAGTACTGCAAGACGAGAGGCAGAGCCAGGCCTTGATCCTGAAGGTCAGTAGTAGTCACTGTTTTCATTCTTTGATGTGAAATTGGATGATGGCTCCTTGACCTTGTTCTCCTGGGCATTGCTGGCTTTTGACTTCTGTGTTGGGTAAGCGTTGAGGCCTCAGTGAAGTAGCTTTTATCCACTGGACCCAGCAGAGACCTTTCCCAAGGGAGATTCTTTGGTTACGGGGGATGAAAACTGTTTTCATGCGTAGTTTTCCTCTAGATCTAAATGCAAGAAGATTAATTTATATTTCTTTATTCCTTTATCTCTCCCTACCCCCCCAAAGCAACCTTCTCGTTGAGGATGTCATATAAAGTGGAATTTGACTGTGACTTCTGAAGTGGTTTCCTGTTTTTGCTGTTTATTGAGAATTAAGTACATTGCAGTTAGGACATATACAAGTGATATTTTTATATGTTTTCATTTATTTGGCCTGTCAGTTTCAGCACTGTGTATTATTTGAAAGCTCTGAGAAGTCATGCTAGAAAACAGTTTTAAATAATTCCTTGTATCTTGTAGGACTTTACTTTTATCCTGTTTCATGAAGTTCTTTCCCTTTCTTTTGGCCTAACACAATCTTTCCATTTCTGTGATTGCTTGTAGAACTCAGACTTTTCCATTCATATCTTTAAGTGATCTCTTTATCAATAAATTTAAAATCGAGTGTCTTCTGTGTAAAGGTCAGTAACTGATTTTGCATCTTCGGGTTCTTCCCAGATTGCAGATTATTACTATGAAGAAAGAACCTGTATTCTTCGTTGTGTCCTACACCTTCTCACTTATTTTCAAGATGAAAGACACCCCTATAGGGTGAGCCCATTTAGTCCTCTTGGTTTTCTTTACCCTATAAAATTCAATACTTTTTTAATAATTTTATATTACTCATATTCACATTCATTTGAATATTAACCTTTTACTCTAGGCGTAAGTTACTCTGAGGGTTTTGTTTTTTTTTAAGGTTGAATATGCAGACTGTGTTGATAAGTTGGAGAAGGAACTAGTTACAAAATACAGACAGCAGTTCGAAGAGCTTTATAAAACTGAAGCACCAACCTGGGAAACACATGGAAACCTCATGGTATGTAGTTACTGGGCCTTCCTGTAACACTTAGAGAATTGTATACCCTTGCGTACAGAGCTCCAAGTTAAATTATTTATTCATTTATTAACTTAAAACATTTATAGATTATCTTTCTTCAGAAAAGTTTAAAAAAAAAGGAAAAGTTTAAATATATCATGGATCAAAATATGGGTGACTTTAAGTAATGGTACTTACTTCTGGGCATTTTCACTGGACTTCGTCTGTTCAGTTCATTTACTTTCTATTCTTACTTAAAATCTTCACTTAGTTATGGAACTCTAAATTCAAGATTTCATCTGCGGTGCCTGGGTGGCTCAGTCGGTTAAGCATCCGACTTCAGCTCAGGTCATCATGATCACACGGTTTGTGGGATCGAGCCCCGCATTGGGCTCTGTACTGACGGCTAGCTCAGAGCCTGGAGCCTGCTTCGGATTCTGTGTCTCCCTCTCTCTGACCCTCCCCTGCTCACGCTGTCTCTCTCTCTCTCTCAGAAATAAATAAAACATTTTTAAAAATTAAAAAAAAAAAGATTTCATCCTCTTTATTATCATTATCTATTAAGTATGTAACAGTATTCTATTTTATCCTAACTCATAAAGCAGTCTCCATTCATAGATTAGAACATGATCTTTTTTGTTTTGAAAATAATACGTGGTTATTAAAACAATTTAACCAAAATATGGATAGTAATATTGAAAATATTTAATATTAGTAAGGGCCCATTTACAATAGCCACAGAAGCATAAATTTCTCAGGAATAAGCATGCAACCATCCAAAATCTAAATGAAGAGAACTTTAAAATTCTATGAAGGGCATAAAAAAGTCATAACTGAATGGAGAAACACACTGCATTCTTGAATATAAAGACAGCAATATAGGGGTGCCTGCCTGGGTGGCTCAGTCAGTTAAGCATCCGACTTCAGCTCAGGTCATGATCTCGTGGTTTGTGTGTTTCCCCCCCTCTGCCACTCCCATGCGCATGCTCTGTTTCTCTCTGCCTCTCAATAATAAATGTTAAAAGAAAAAGACAGCAACATAAAAGTGTCAGTTCTTATGTTAACCTATAGTTTTATTTATTTATTTTTACTTTTTAGAAATGTTTATTTTTGAGAGCGCGCACGAGCAGGGAAGGGACAGAGAGAGAGAGGGAGGGAGACACAGAATCCGAAGCAGTCTCTAGGCTCTGAGCTGTCAGCACATAGTCTGACGTAGGGCTTGAACTCATGAGCTGTGAGATCATGAACTGAGCCAAGTTGGACGCTTAACTGACTGAGCCACCCAGGCATCCTAACCTATAAATTTAGTGTAATCCCTAAAAACAAACAAATAAGTGTTTGTTTTGCCTTTTATTTTCGAACTGAATGAGCTGATTCTAAAATTCATATGAAAAAAAATAATAGGGGCGCCTGGGTGGCTTAGTCGGTTAAGCGTCCGATTTTCGCTTAGGTCATGATCTTGCGGTTCGTGGGTTCGAGCCCTGCGTCGGGCTCTGTGCTGACTGCCAGCTCAGAGCCTGGAGCCTGTTTCAGTCTGTGACTCCCTCTCTCTCTGACCCTCCCCTGCTCACGCTGTCTCTCTCTCTCCTAGAAATAAAACATTAAAAAAATTTAAAAAAAAAAATAATAAAATTCATATGAAAAATAGTTAATAGTAACCAGGAAATTTTTGAAAAAGGAAAATTACTTTTATTAAGTAATTACCACTACAATAATTTAAAGCATGCCATTGGCACATGAATAAGTAGACTTACAAGTAGAGCATAATAGAAGGTCTAGCAATAGACCCAAATGCTGAGTTAGCATAGGATAAAGGTGCCATTTCAATCAGTGGGAAATGTGTTTTTCAATAAATGGCATTGAACTATGGGATATCCATGGGGAGAAAAAAATAAGCTCTATCTTCTATCTTCTGCCAAAAGAAAACCACGTAGATGTTTTAAATTGAAAAAAAAAAATTATAGGGGTACCTGGCTGGCTCTATTGGTAGAGCCTGTGAATCTTGATCTTGGGGTTATGAGTTTGAGCCCCACATTGAGCATAAAGTTTACTTTAAAAAAAATTAAAAGTATTAGAAGATATGGGAGGTGGGTTTTGTTCTTTTGTTGTTTTGTTTTGTTCTTTTGTTGTTTTGTTTTGGAGTGGAGAAGACTTTTTAAAGTAAAACTCAGAAGCCATAAAAGAAAAATAATTATAAACCCAGCAACATCAAATCAAAAACTTTTGTAAGGCAAAAAAAACAAAACAAAAATAGCACAGTAAACAAACTCAAGACAAACTCGTATTGGGTTCCTTTTTTTTTTTAACTTGTTTTTAATGTTTTATTTATTTCTGAGAGAGGGGGGCAGCGTGAGCAGGGGAGGGTCAGAGGGAGAGGGAGACACAGAATCAGAAGCAGGCTCAAGGCTCTGAGCTAGCTGTCAGCTCAGAGCCTGACACGGGGCTTGAACCCGCGAACCGCAAGATCATGACCTGAGCCAAAGTCGGACGCTTAACCAACTGAGCCACCCAGGTGCCCCTCATACTGGGTTCTTAAAATAGAAAGAACTCTGCTAAATCACTAAGACCCAATAGAAAAACAGGCCAAAGCAGTGAACAAATTCACATGGCAACACTCTTGTCCATGGGATGGGGTAATGGGTGCTCATGTTTTGCTGTATAAACAGTATTTTTAATGGAAAATATTATGACAATATTTAAAAATTGAAAAGCACATGATTCTTGACTTAGCAGTTGCAGTGTAAGAGTTTACCCTATACATTCACACTTATGTGAAACAACTTGTGAAATGACACATGGGCAGCATTCCTCACCTCCCAGCTTTATTCAGGTATCATTTCCACCCAATAAAATTCACTGATTTTAAGGGTACAGTTTTGACAGTCGTATGTAGTTGTATGCACATCGGTATATAGAACATTTCCGTCTCCTCTAGAAAGTTTATAGTCAATCTGTGACCTCTAGCCCCAGACAACCACTAATCTGCTTTCCGTCACTAGAGTTTGTTTTTTTTAACTATGATTTTTAAATTCTGGTAAATAATACATAATTTAAAATTTGTTGTATTAAACACTTATAGGTATCACTGTTAATATAATTTCTCCTTTCTAGAGTTTCATGTAAATAGAAATGTGTAATGTATACATAGTCTTTTCTGTTTGGTTTCTCTCACTAGCCTACATGAAGTTTTATCCATGTTATATTCATGTATTAATACTTCATTCCTATTTATGCTTGAACATTGTTTCACTATATGTATGTATACCACATTTTGTTTATCCATTCATCATTTGGCACACATTTGAGTTCTGTTTTTTGGCAGTTATGAGTAATGTGCAGTGAATGTTAGCATACAGGTCTTTTTATGGATAAGACATAGGTTTCATTTCTCTTGGATAAATAACCTGGGAGTTGGGTTGTTGGGTCATATTTTAAGTATATTTTTGTTAGGTACTGACAAACTGTTTTCCATAGTGGCTGTACCATTTTCCTTTTGTTTTTTAAGTTTTTAAATTTATTTTGAGAGAGCGCGCATGTGCGAGCAGGGGAGGGGCAGAGAGAAAGGGAGAGAGAGAACCCCAAGCAGGTTCTATGCAGTCAGCACAGAGCCCTATGTGGGACTCGATCTCACAAACTGTGAGATCATGACCTGATCGGAAGAGACTTAACTGGCTGAGCTACCTAGGCGCCGCTACCATTTTCCATTCTTAACAGCATTTTTGAGAATTCTTTCTGTTCCGTATCCATACCAACACTTGGTATGGTCATTGATTTTAATTCTAAACATCTAATAGACATGTAGTGACACCTCATTGTGATTTTAATTTGTTTCCCTCATGACTAGTGATGTTGAGCATCTTTTTACAGGCTTACTTGCCTATATTTTTGTTGAAGTGTTTATCCAGCCTTTGCTTCAGTGGTTTTATTGGGTTGTTTATCTTACTGAATTTTAAGAGTTCTTGATGTAGGGGTGCCTGAGTGGCTCAGTCAGTTGGGCGTCTGACTTCGGCTTAGGTCGTGATCTCATGATTCATAGGTTCGAGCCCCACGTTGGGTTCTGTGCTAACAGCTCAGAGCCTGGAGCCTGCTTCAGATTCTGTGTCTCCCTCTCTCTTTGTCCCTCCCCTGCTTATGCTCTCTCTCTCTCAAAATAAATAAGTAAACATTTACAAAAAGTTCTTGATGTATTCTGAACCCAAGCCATTTGACAGATACATGTTTTACAGATATTTTCTCTCACTTAATGGCTTGTTTTCTTTCTTTTTTTTTTTTTTTCCCACCTAAACTGTCTAAGACCAAACTTGAATTTTGATAAAATCTGTTTTAACAGATTTTTTGGGCCTTGTTTCAAGAAATCTCTGCTTAGGGGCCCCTGGGTGGCTCAGTCAGTTGAATATCTGACTACCTCTTGGTTTTGGCTCATGTCATGATCTCACAGTTTGTGGGATCGAGCCCCAAGTTGCGCTGAGTGCTGACAGCATGGAGCCTGCTTGGGATTCCCCCCCCTTTTCTTTCCCTCTCTCCCCCCTCCCACTCCTCCCAGCTTGCGCACATGCACTCTCTCTCTCTTTAAAAAAAATTTTTTTTTTAATGTTTTATTTATTTCTGAGAGAGAGAGAAAGGCAGCGTGAGCAGGGGAGGGTCAGAGAGAGAGGGAGACACAGAATCGGAATCAGGCTCCAGGCTCTGAGCTGTCAGCACAGAGCTCAATGTGGGGCTCGAACCCATGAACCGTGAGATCATGACCTGAGCGAAGTTGGACACTTAACCAACTGAGCCACCCAGGTGCTCCATCTCTCTTAAAGAAACTTAAAAAAAAAAAAAAAAAAAAAAAAAATTTGCGTAATCTAAAATCACATTTTTTTTTTTTCTAAAAATTTAAAAATTTTAATTTTCACATTTGAATCTTTAATGCAAACTGAAATTGAAATATGGGGTATGGTGCAGGGTGTGGAGTCCTGTTTCTTTCTTTTTTTTTTTT